ATCATGTTCTATACCTAGGAAGTTGAGCAATATAACTCACATTCACAGGATACATTTTTCTCTGGTTTATAGCTAGGTTTGGCCAATGGGAATTCCTGGCCCAGACTAAAGAAGAGCGGAAAGAAGTCAGAGTATTTATTCTCCCAGCCTACAGACCCATTTTGGGTAGCACTCTCCAAATCCTTCTCCTTTCATATTCCATTCCACTCTCTCTCCCTGTCTCCGTCAGCCTACGGGTGCAACAAAGTGGCTATGGGCAGGAGCTCTCTACCTTGGCATTACTGACGTTTTGAGCACCATATTTCAAAGCCATGAGAAGCAATCCTGTGCCCCATAGGATGTCTAGTGGCATCCCCGGCATCAACCCAGTAGATATAAATAACCTTTTATAGCAATTTATAATTTATAGATTACTTTCACCTATTTAATATCACTTGAGCTCCATGACTCTATAAATATTATTAGAATGCTTATTTTTAGGGGCGCCTGAGTGGTGCAGTCCGTTGAGCATCTGACTCTTGGTTTCGGCTCAGGTCATGATTTCACAGTCCTGAGATGGAGCTGTGTTGGGCTCTGTGCTTAGCACGGAGTCTGCTTGAGATTCTCTCTCTCCCTCTCACTGTGCCCCTCCCCCAATCACACACACACACTCTCTCTAAAATAATCTTTATAAAAAAAGGATGCTATTTTTACCAATGAGAACATGAAACCCAAAGATACAGTAACTAATAAACCTATGCCTAAAAATCCTATAGAGCAATAATAGTATGTAAAGAATTTCTTATATCCAAGTCATAATCTTGTTCCATACCGGCTTTGAACTAAACTTCCTTATATTGCTATTTGCCTAAATTCCAGACATCACCAGGGCCATTAAGTTTCATATGAAATGCAAAAGTCATAATGGAGTTCTCTGGGCATTATGTTAAATGTGAGTCATATAGTTCGTCATCTATTATCTCTTTTTCTTCCTCTAAGAAGAATAATGTTGCAGTCATGTTGTATTGACAATTGGAATCTTCTTCAAAGATAATGTATTCTGAACATCTTCTACAAAAATGCCCACAAGGATTACAATAGAAAAATAGAATAACTCCAGGCATGCTCATGTATTTGATCATTTTATGTTAAATCAAGAAAGATGTTTAATGCATTTCAGAGTTTCAGGGACTGCTTCTATCTTTCCTCTCCTCTGCCCGCTACCACAGTTAATGTAGAAAACCTGGACCCACTGAAATTTGCTCATTCAGACAAAAAGACAAAAACTGCTACTGGACTTTAAGAAACTAAGCGATGTTAACATGTGTGCTGTGAGAAGTTCACACATCAGAAAAGGAACAGGTAATGTCTCCATTAGGATCTCGGGGAGCATTGATTGATGAGAATTGGTAAGACCAAATCTTTTCTCCAGAGTCAACATTTCTTTTTCTTTTCTTTTTTTTTTTTTTTTTTGAGGGGAACACTATCTTGGATTCACTATCCCCAAAGAAAATAAAGTCAAAACATGTCATTTCTTGAGTCGATAACTACTAGTCCAGTCATAGTATGGGCTCTGCAGTCCAACAGATCATAAGCCAGGGTAGTTAGAGAGAGAGTAATTATGACCAGTGCCAGATATAATTACATTCTCCTGCCCTCAAGTTACCCCTGCTGTCATGTTGTCACTCCAATGGCATCACCATCAGGCCAAATCCTAGAGAGTAAAGTCACTATCTTTTGTTGAGTTCCTAAATGTACCAGTATCTGTGTATCCATCATCTCATTTAACCCCCACAACACCCTTACAAAGCAGACATTGGTATCTTCCAATTACTAGGATATGGATGTCCAAAAAGGAATCAGATCTACTCTACCTCAAGACTAGTCTCCCCACCTTCACTGCCTCTGGTTGAGTGAGTCAGACCCTATCTATCAACAATCATATTATTTGTACATAATAGACATAATATGTTGAGTAAAGAAACAGTTTGAAAAGTTGCTCCAGTCTTATGGTCCTATTAAAGGTAAGAGTGAAATCACGAAATTGCCAATCATATTTCTGGTCACGTCTCAAAAATTTGATGGCTCTTCTTGTGGAAGTAAGCTTTTCATCTTACAGAAACAAGAAAACTGATCATTTCAGCTTTTTCTATTATAAATATTTTTCAAATATAGATAGATTATTTTGAGAGAAAATTAAGATATAGTAGAAGTAACAATGAAATATCTATTAGGTAATAAATTAAAATGTTGAGATTACACAAGAAAAAAAAAGTCAAACTAGAGACTGCCCAAATAATATTTTGTGGTTTGTAAAATGTGGTTATCAAATTTTTGGAATGTTTGCCTATCAGACCTGCAGAATAGTGCCCCTTCCTCCTCCCCCAGCCGCGAAGATGTCACCCTGTGAATATATGAATATGTTACCTTACATGGCAAAAGAGAATTAAAATTGTAAGCGGAATTAAAGTTTTAATCAACTGACCTTAAAATAAGGAGATTTTCCTGGATTATCCAAGTAGCCCAATGCAATCACAGTGTCCTTAAATACATAAGAAAGGCAGCAGAGAGTCAGAATGGTATGGACATGAAAATGACTACCAGCTATTTATTGCTGGCTATGAAGATGGAAGATGGTCAAGAGCCAAAGAATGCAGGCAGCCTCTGGAAGCTGGAAAAAATACAAGAAAATGGCTTCTCCCTCCACCTTCCAAAAAAAGAAGCAGAGCCCTGCCAACACATTGATTATAGCCTAATGAGACCCACTTTAGCCTTCTGACAATCAGAACCCTAATAAATAAATATTTGTTGCTTAAGCCACCATGTTCACAATAATTTATTACAAGGGCAGTAGGAAACTAATGTTACACTAAAGTAAAGACTGGAAGACACCTGGAAAATTATGGTTAGATGCATCAGCCAATATCCCAGAAGACATAAAGTTTCCTGGTTAAATAGTATCACAATGCCTCTGTTTTCTTAGACACAGTTTGAAGTTAACTATATAAAGCATATTGAAATATTTTATCTTTACAAAGAAGGTTTTAGCCAACATCTTTTTAAAAACCATAATATAGTTTGCCATAATGGAGAAACACTCAAAAATGCATTGAAATACTTAAAGTATTAAGGCACATCATATATCTTGTTCAAATGATTAATTATACTGCTCTATTATGATTCATGAAAGAATCCACCATGGTACTTATGGTACAAATGACCTAAGTGATAAAAATAACCTAGATTATTAAATCCTCAAAAGTCTGCTGCAACAAACATCTATGTATGGCTTACTAGACTCTACCCAATTAAAATCTTGGAAAACAAAGAAAAGAAGAGGAAAAAAAGAAGGAAGGAAGGAAAGAAAAATAAAAGAAACAAATGCTTCTCTTCCTTCAGCCAGACTTGCATAGTTGAAATAGCCATTGTTAGCTGGAATGTTTTTGCAAGTCAACTTCCAATTCCTACAAATAGTTGCTATTATTAACTTATTAAACCAGAAATATCCACCAATGTAAATGTACTCAATAGAACATTTCAACCATTACCTTGAGGGAATTATACAGAGATTCTGCACGTTTTTGTAGAAAGTAAATGAGGTAGATTTTAGGAACAGTTACTGAAAATAAGGCCTCAGGAGACTGGAAAAGTGGGTACTATAGAATTCTAAAAGCCTACGGAACAGAGATGCCAAAACATTAGAAGAAGGATTACAACCAAAGCTAACAGTACTATGTTGCCCATTCCGGAAGATCTACGCCTCTGTTCTCCTTTCAAACTGCAGGCTTCACAACTGAAGCTAATTCCCAAAAAAATCAATCTGGCTGTTCTTCCAATAAGTAACCTCCTTTTTGGGTCTTTTACCATGAGGCTGGACAAGGACATTTTACAAATGTGGTCCTACTGCGGCTTTTTTCAATACTATTTAGAAATGATAGAAATATAACTTAGAATTTTCAAATTATCATCTAAGTTAGGGTTATTAGTCTCTATTACCTCCTGGAGGTGTGGTGCTTGCAGACCAAAATTTACCCTAGGATTTTAAAAGAGACTATTATTTCTTTAGAGGAAAAAATTGTGTATGTGCATATATTTATGTTTATGTTCATATTTATATTTATGTGAACTCAGTACATATATGTATATACACGTATGTGTGTGTGTATATATGTAGTATATATGGAGTAATTCGACCCTGAGTGATCTAGTGGCATCGGACTAAACAAGGGATACCTTACCGCCACCTGGACACAAAACCAGAGGTCTGTTGTGAAGTGACATCTTTAAGAGATCAAGGGATCAAGAATGATAGGAGGAAATTCAACCAGGGTTGTTTTGTTTCCAAATGTTTTCCTCTGTGTTCTGGATAGCGTCTCATATGATTCCTTTCATGAGAAAGTCTCACATCAGGCTTTTTGTTCATCCAGAATCCTCCAGAATAGAAATATAACTTGGAGAGGAAACATCTTAAAAGCTGTCATCGACCAGTCACTTACACAGGACCATCTGAAAGCCAGCTGATAACAAGTACCAGTGTTAACAGAAGACATGATATGTGCTCAGGGGAGAAGGAGAGCACTAGAAGAAATGAAAAGGACCTAAAAATAATTAGAAATTGTAAAAAAAAAAAAAATCATTATGATTTTTCTTGGGAAACCCCAGGGCTATAACACTTTTGATAATCAATGCATAAAACAAATACAAGATATAAAAATACAAGCTTACATGACTATTTTTAGGAAAATATAACTTATGACTCAGATGAGTTGCTGTATTTTTCAAAGTTGCCTGGAGAGGGTGTAAATATTCCAGTAATGTTGCTGTGATTAAAAGCATCTATATAACTCCTCTTGGAAATCGCCTGGCAGCCTGTGTCTCTTTTCTTTCAATCTCTTCAATGATAGTAATAGTTCCCATTTGAAGGTGATTTGACATCAGCAAATTACTAAAAGTCATTCAGAGCCAAGTGTGAAGGATTCAGAGTGAACAGTTATAGTGAATAAGTTCAGTTTTTGGTCAAAATCACAGAATGGCTAAAAAGCAGTGAGGCTAACTGAATTGCTCATTAAGTGGTTCTAATTTTAACAGTCAAAGAAAAAAATCCATTAGAGATGCATAAAAAGCAAAAACCTGTTGAAATGTAAAGGAGGATGGGGTGTGGAGAAAATACATTCCAATTCCGATCCAATGAGAATAGTTAATGCCCTATGGCCAAGGTTGCAAGACTGATACAGAAGAAATAAATTAAAGCCACATTATAACTTCCTTGTGTGGTAATTGTCAATTGCCAGCCTCCCTAGGAATCACTAAATCCTTCCCAGGGTACGTATAGCTCCTCTCATAACCCTTAACCATACTACAGTATAATTATTCCTTTGCCAGTCTGTCTTCTCCACAAGACTCTGAGCCTCTGCCTTACATTCCAAATACAATGGGACATCAATAATCGGGCATTAAATAAATGAATGAAGAAGACTCACTTGGACACGTAACCTCCAGTTGTCTTACTTAAGGTCTTTCCTGATTCAGGATCATATAGGTTGGTAGGAACACATCTTAGGCAAACTTTGAGTTCTACCTTTGCTTTTAATAATTTGTAGTTACGCCATCAAGGCATATTGGAAATCCCAAATTTGTTAGTCCTTTGTAGCTTTCTCAGTGTGACTGAGATACAAAAATTAAAAAAAAAAAAAAAATTCAGTGTTTAAAATATTCTTATCACTTCTCCGCTTGGTACTCACTGACATCTGACTTCCTCTGAGACAGTGAGAAAACTCAGCCTGCTTGGCGGGAAAAATGAAGATAGAGCAAGTGTAAAAGCTTACAGGATGCCACTGCGGAAAGAAAAGAGCAACACCTCAGATATCTTAAACTGACTCTGCTGTAGAGGATCCTGAAGGATCGAGGGAGACAAGGATTGCCTATAGTCCAGTGTCTTCTAGGAGACTGTCGAACGCAGAATGTCCGCTTCACTATCATTATTCTAGCAATCTCCCTCCACAACTTGAAACCTAGTGAGATGGTTAATAAGTTTTCTAAAAGCAGCTTTCAAAAATGCCAGTATGCCTCCAAAATTTCATGCTCACTGAACTGATTATTATTATTAGTTTGCAAAGATAAATGTGTGACTAATTTAAAAACAAAATAGTTTGACTTTGTGAGGGTATGCAAACGTGCACTCCTGTGTGTGTGTGAAAGAGAGAGATTGAGAGAATGGAGGGTTGAAGGATCACAGAATGTTATCTTTTACCCTCTAGCACTTTCCTCAAAGCTTGAAATTTTTTTCAGAGCTTTTCAATTATAAGTTTAGGGGGGCAATGTAGGCAATCATGAAAGTACAGAAAAGATACAGCTTCCTATCTGTATTCCCTTAGTACTTTTATTTTTTACTATCTTTTGCCTTTGATGAAAAACTTCCCCCCCACCCATTTTTTTCAACTATTCAAAAAAACAGCCCCAGTAAGAAACCAGCTTAAATGAGAAAAAAAAAAAAATATCAGCCAAATAATTTTTTGGCCCCTTGAACAAAACCCTCCTTTTATTTTTCTTTTTGTAACTTGAGACTTTCCTCTCCAGTTCTGAAGTATGTTTCTTTTCCTGTCTTCAATAAGACATTTTTTGCTTTTACTAAAAGTGATAAAATAATATGTCTTCAATTCTCTTGCAGATGAGTGCTAGGAATAAAATGACAACATAACGCTTATATTTGATAAGAAGATACTCTTAAAAAAAACAACAACACTAATTCTTCTAAGAAAATATGTTGGCTGCAGTTTTTAGCACCATCACTTCATTTTTGCTTAATCTCCCTCCATCCTCCCCAAAGATTGTTTACCATAATATGTAATAAAAATTACATTCATCCAATAGCCAATGATTCACTGTTTGATTTTTACAGCTTCTTACCTTTCCCATGAAGAGACAAATAAGTTAGAAACATGAGATAAAGAAAAGTTGAGTGATCTACTCCACTTCAGAGATTAAGACCAAAATAAATCTTATAAAACCTGCATCTGCCTCTCAGCCAGATTGTAGCTACTAATGCAGAGGCATATTGTATGGTAAGGCATGCTTTTAGATGTGAGGATCTTTCTGCATTTCAACATCTCTTTATAGGAAGCAGAATGTGATGAATAGTTTCTTTCTTTCTGACGCTTAACAAAAGCAAAACTAAATTCACAACTCAAATGGCAGCGCTCTTACTAATGCTACAAATCCAAAAAGCACCACACAGGTCAACTGTGAACACAAGGTAAGTTGCACAAGCATGCAGGACACAATAATTGAGGACTAGAAATGTGGCTGGATTTCCTTTGTGTAGGCTTCACACAAATCACTGTCCTTTTCTTTGCACGGAGGCTCTGTGGTCTGAAATGTAGAACTGAGCATTGCTGATGTAGAGAAGAGAAAGGCAGACAGACATATTTATACAGATGATAAAAGTACTATGTACGAGTGAATTTATTTTATAAGCCATATCTGTTCTTCCTTCATATTGCACATCCACTGTCAACTGTAATGTGACACAGTGGGGACACTTTACGTCCCTTAAGGATGTCACATCCTCTAATGATTAGCAAACAATATTATATGTAATATTTAAAAGCATAAACATACAGGAAAACAAAGGTCTTCATTAAACAACTTCTCAGGCTTAAACAGAGCAGTTACATGATTATAAATGTTTCTTTGCCATTAGGAGTCCCTGCCTCGTGCTGTAGCAACAACTGTCTTGTTTTACAAAAAAAAAAAAAAAAATCAAAAAGTTCAAAATTCATAGCAGCGAATTCTCAAGGATACATAAGCACGCATTATTATTACTTGCTTACTGTTTAAAGTAGGTATTCATGCTATTTATTACTGAATATTCAACACAATCCCCACTTACCTATGTGAATAGAAAAAACAACACAACTCACAAGGTGTATCCAGGAATCACTTTTTAGAGTGATAATAATATACGCAGAATTTCACTAGGTTCTTGTAATGTGGTTATGCAAAACACACTTTTTTTCCTTCTGTTTTCCCTCCCTGAAAGTGTACCAATATCTACATTGATGTTTACAGATTTCATAACTGATTGCCCATATTCAGACGCTAAATCTGAAACAGCTTTCCAGCTCAAACCAAACGGTATCTACTTTACTTATACTGTACTGATGTAGTCATTTTAGAATATATTAAAGATGCCTGCATTTAGTAAGCCAATAATAAACAATGACTAATTTCCAGAGTAGTTTGGCTTTAAGATGGTTGTTTCCAAACGGGAGTGAAACTTTTAAGAGAATGTTAAAGAGGTGGTCTGTTGGGTTCCGTAAGAATTCAAGTAAGGCCCGGAGGAGAGGAGGTGGATTCCTTACCATTTTATCCTACTTTCTTTCCATTAGTTGGAAATAACTGCAATGCTGGCAATATTTTGAATACCTATTATTAATGAAACAAAATTCTACAAATTTTTAAGTGGAGGGTGGAAACAACCACCTCAACAATTTGATTCAATAGTTTTAAAGCTTAAAAAGTTTAAATCATTCCAGTAGTATACAAAGATCATTTCAGAGCATAAGATACAAAATTACTACATAACAGAACCCAGAGTTGTATTACAAAGGTACATGTTCAGAGACATTTATTCAGTTGAATAAACATTGTATAATAAAAAGTGTCATCAACACATTAAGAAAATGCTGTCATAGCAAAAAATTAGTAAATCATTATTTTTATAAGGAATGTATTTCAAATGGGCTTTGGTTGTACTCATTCACATTTTAGGGGACTGAAAACATGTCTCATAAAGAAATAGAATAATATTATATTTTAAGAGGAAAACTATGACATGATACAGGTCACATTTTAATTGAATGTTTAATAATGAGCAACTAATTTGAGGAAAACCAGAATAAATTACAAAAAAAATTTTTATAAGGAATTCACTATTACTTTGCTTTCTTTCAAATGTTGTGAATATTTAGAAACCAAAAACCAGAAAACAAAAAGAAAAACATGTATTTTCTTTCTGGTAAAAGGTAAATAAAATGTATGTTTTAAAAATCTTCTAGGTAAACTTTTATTCTCTATAAAAAGGCATTTCCTATCCTAAATAAAATGGCAATTTATAAAAATAATGAATTTATGTTTCTTACTTGTATTAATAATATACATAACAGACTATGTGAATACTGAGTGAAGTAAAGAATACTAAGGTAAATGACAAAAAAGGAAAACATATTAATGAGGTGTTCCCAAGAGCAGAGAGTGGGTAGAAGGAGGAAGTGCCTACTAGTCTAAAATCTACCTTCCCATCTTTTGATTTTAACTTTGATTAAGGTTTACGATGGTACTATTAAAAAAAAATTGGACTGAGTGCCCTAATTTCAAGAACAGAGTATAAAAGATATTAAGATAGGACAGTTGAAACATCACTGAAGCCTTTAAGAGAAATACGTGAATCCAATTTCATTCTCCTAGAACTAGTTGACTATAAATTAGACATGTTCTGTCCACTTCGCATATACACAGTGGTTGAGGGTGTGGCCCCTGTATTTGACCCTCTGCTCGGCCACTTTACAAATTGTGTTGATCATGAGCAATTACTCAACCCTGCTGTGCATCACTTGCCACATCTACAAACTAATGATAATTAGCTCTATTTCACAGGGTAGTTGTACCTATTTAATGAGTTAATATAAGTAAAATATGTTGACCAGTGCATAGGATATGGCATGTAATATAAGTTTAGCTATTATTATTTATGCATTACCCCGCTGAAATGGAATTTCAATGGGGAGAGATTGTTATCTGTCTTCACTGTTGTTGCTTCTCTAGTGTTTAGAACAATGCTTTGCCCACAATTACATAATTGGCATACAATAATCACTCATTCATTGTTTGCTCTGAAATGGTAACTGTATCACCTCTGTGTCTGTACATATATAAATGCATATACATATTATACATACATGTACACGCACAGACACTAGTTTCTTATTAAAGGTAAAACATTAGAGAAAAAGGCAAGAAGTTTTAGTAATAAAGTAAATTAAATGTTCCTGACCTAATAGAATGTGCACTGGTTTGGAAAAAATAGGTATTACCATCTTTTGTTCCTAATGCCGTATAGACATGCCATCTGTATCTAAAATCGATCCTTGTGTTCAACAGTTAAATGCAACGAAAAGCAGATTCAGATGCAATTAAAAAAAAAAAAAAAAAAAAAACCTTTAAGTTGATGCCACGATTATTGTCATTTCCTTGAAAAAAAAAGAACTGATTAATCTGCCATTTTTAATATAGGAGGTCAAATGTAAAATTAGCTCTAGAAGCTTAGAAAGGTAATTCTTAGAAAAAGTCTATTCAGCTGTCATGGTCCATTGCCTAGAAATTCTGACCAAAGGGCAGAAAAGAAGGAGTTCCTCTTCCTGACTTTTGATGAGTTTACTCTGTATTACCCTAACAAAATCACCACTTCCTACATCCCACTGGACATATATATAGTTCCTAGGCTGCTCATTACATATTTTATCACATGAATTTTTAACCTTATGAAGCAAATAAAAAGGCACAGTAAAAAAAAATCCTCAATGTGTCCGTGGATTCGTGTAATGATGCAGTGTATTGAATGCATATATATCAATAGTTGGTGAAGAGTCACTCAGAGTATGGTACCAGCTTCAGTACATTTTGGCAGTTTCCATATGCCATGAGAACTCAGACCCACTGGATCTTTGTCAGACCAATTAAACCACTGTGCATGAAAATCCACTGAGACTGTCCTTAGAAAAGAGGGATTATTAAACCTACATTATTATAGTGTCAACTGACTCTTTCCCCACTTAACTCCTACTGCTTTTCCTTTGGATCTTAATGCTGAAAATATCCTAGAAATGTAAGACTACATATTACTATCATCATTTAAAAAGACCTCCTACATTTGTGGAAAACTTCTTGGACTATTTTATATAAAGATTGATTTTATATTAATTAATATACTTAGATGCACTTATTGGTTGGCAAAATTAAAATAACTAAGATGCTACTTTATATCACAAACCCCTGTGAAGGCTGACAATTGCAGGAAGCATTCAATGATGTGCATAAAATTTAGAGTTAATAAGCTAAAAAATGAACTTCAGTTGTATCCCCCTAAAATTCATATGCTGAGGCTCCAAACCCCAATGTGACTGATCTGGAGCTATAGCCTTTATGGAGGTAATTTGGTTGAAAGAAGTCAGAAGGTGAGGCCCTGATCTATTAGAACTGGTGTCCTTAGAAAGAGGAAGGGAGAAGGCCATTTGAGGACACATTGAGCAGATAGCTGCCTACAACCAGGAAGAGAGTCTTCATCACAAACGAAATTTGCCAGCACCTTGATCTGGGACTTCCGGTGTTCAGAACTGCGAGAAAATAAACTTCTGTTACTCAAGCCATCCAGTCTCTAGTATTTTGCTATGGCAGCACCAGCAAGCTGATACTGATTCTCTTTTAAACCTGCTAAGAATACATAGGAGGTATTGTGGGCTAGAATAAAATGCATACTGCAACCTATGTAAATTAAAATCTATCAGGGATACTATGCTAAATATGTAAATATGTAAATTAAAATCTATCAGGGATACCACCACACTAATAAAAATTCTCAGATTTGGTGAGAGAAGTACGTTGGAGGGGAGACGACTATAGGGAGTTAGTGGACCCTGTTATATGGAGATGGATGGGATCTAGGAGAGATTCTGTTTTGCTTTTCCCCAGTTACATATGTCACATGGAGATAATAATAAGACCCGCCTCTTGGAGTTGCTAGAAAGGAGTAAATACTATAATGTAGTACACCCCTTAGCAGAGTGATTGTCGCAGAATAAAAGCTCAGTAACTGATGGCTCTTAGAGACTAGTCATGATGTGTGAAACAAAAATTCCCAGGAAAGATTGCACGGAAGAAGAAATAACTGAAAAAACGATGGAATTTTTTAAGTGTCAAAATGGATGATATAAGATATCAAACTGTTACGGGTGCCTGGGTGGCTCAGATGGTTAAGCGTCTGCCTTCGGCTCAGGTCATGATCCCAGGGTCCTGGGATCGAGCCAGACGTCCCGCTCCTGGCTCCGCAGGGAGCCTGCTTCTCCCTCTGCCTCTCTCTCTCTGTCTCTCATGAATAAATAAATAAAAATTAAAAAAAAAAAAAAAGACCAACCAGTACCTCTAAGGATCAGAAGAAAATGACTTTAAAAAAAAAAAAAAAGATATCAAACTGTTACAAGCCGTTCCTAAACCACTTGCTTTACAGCAGTGAGCTCTTTCTTCTCCTTCACTATCGAGACATCAACAGGCACCGAAAGTCTTTCTGATAATAACTAGGACCTGTTGCTGTAGGCAGAGACACACCTGTTGCAGCTTAATCAGGGATCAGCGTCACTTTGAAGAAATGAATCAGGAAAAGAGAATAGCAGATGCTTCAAATAAGCAGTAGGACAAATTAAAACAAATGCCCCCCCCCAAAGGAAAAAAAACAAAACGAAGAAACTTTTTAATATAATGGGTAGTGAAAGTATGCCGAACGTGTAAATGCATCTTAAGAAGGCTTAGAAAAATTTATGGATGACCAGAAATATTATCTTAAATTGTGGCAATGCTTGACAAAGCCCCAATTGTTTTGTGTGACCCCCCCATAAACCCTGTCATGTACTCAGAGCGGGGGTTGTTACGTAAAATGACAGAGGATGGTTTCCACAGGCTTCCGGACTCGAAAGGACTTACACAAGGTCACACTGGCCAATCAGTGACAGAACCAGGACAAGAAGGCAGATGTTCAGATTGTCTTATCCAGCTCATTTTCTATTTTACCAGAGGCCTTCGAGAAGTGAACTATCGAACAGAAGTTAGGAATTTCAGGGGATCCCACCCAGAACTGTTGTAGCCTGACCTACCATCTGTAATCAGAACTGAGAAGGGGGCAGTGTTAACAATTCAGGTTTCTAGGCTATAGTGCAGACCTACTAGAATTCAATTTCTGAGAATTGAATGAAATTAGGACAAGAATCAACTACATGGCAATAATGTGGCCACTTTTTTAATTATAGTAGTCTAATAATAATGCGAGGGAGAAGGTGAATATGTTGCTAATGCAGTGGTTGTGCGCTTTTCTTTTTTTCCTTTTTTACTTCTTTGTTCCTATCTTTCTCTCAAAAGTATGGGAGCAGAAAATGAATGGAAACAGAGCAGTTGGACATGATATTCCAGACTAAAAACAAAACCCAAACCAAACCGAAACACCTGGTCTAAATGGCAGGAAGTGGGTGTTTACTAGTTTTTGACACTAATCTTGCAATCATATCAAGCCAGGTACCGTTCTTATGGTTACTGGGGCCTCGGGCCAAAATTCAAGGCCACAAACATTTGCTTTTGTCAGACCTGAAACTCCTTTTTCTGATATAATCTCATTACATCCTGGATGCCTAGCTCAAGTTGGAGACACTTGGTGCCTTAACAGAGTTCTAGTCTTTAAAACTACTGCAGGCTACTCATCCTTCCCCTAAGGCCCTAAGCAGAATCTTCATTTCTTCAGGACTGTTGATCTTGTGAGGTGCTGACCTAGTTATCTGCTTAAAGCAATTTACACCAGGGTGCGCCAAAGACTAAACCCAACTCCTTCAGAAGTCATTTGCAATTTGCACTTGCAATTTAAGAGTGCTCCTTAGAATATGGGCTCCTAAGGAGTATTTTTTTTTTTTTTTTTTTTTGAGTAGAGCTGACACACAATGTTACATTAGTTTCATGTGTACCACATACTGATTCAACACTAAGTAGTTGTAAGACATTTCTCAGCTCCCACTTCACTGCTCATCACTCCAAGAGCATATTCTCTCTTCTAGACCTCTTTCCTTAGTAAACTAAGTGCATGTTTCTCTTTACAGATATTCCAGGCTCTCACCTTTAAAAGTGACGCTCACCATGGGCTTTCAAAATAAAAATGGAAACTTATACTTTATCGGTGAGCATGCATTGGTACAGTGAATGAATAATAACTGCAAGAACATATAAAGTGACAAATACAGACACTCATGCCTATGCTTGGACATATACGTATCTATTTTTTCCATAAGGAAAGGGATAATGATAAAGATAAGAATCTGTACCAGATGAGAATAAGGATCACAAGAAAAATACTGAAAACCAGCAAGTTTGCATGTTTCTTCATACCCCTTCAGAATATATCAGAACTCTACTGGGTGACCAAGTGCCTCCCTTATTTGCTTTGCCTATTCACTTAATAGTTTAATTTTATCTTTTTTAAGGGTTTGGTGTTGATACCACCACCAAGGAGGAAGGAGAGAAAATGAGAGTATTCCTCATTTGCTACTGAAATGAGAGTCAGACCCACACAGAGAAGGCAGGGACTCTAGCCAGCCCAGCAGGTAGCCTTTTATCATGGAGAAGTCCACCCAGCAGGGAAAGAAAATAACAATTGGGACACTCAGAGTCTGATATAAAAGTGGACATACCATAGTCCAGTAATCCAATATGAAGGACCTTCAGGATATCTAGCATCAAAGCCCAAGCCCTTTGTTTGTTCAACAAATATTTATGAGTGTCTCCTATGTGTTAGGCACTCTACTAGGCACTGGGAATACCATGATAGACCAAACAGATTTGGAGGCAGTCCCTGTGAGTTTCATGTATATACCTTGCCTACCTTGCTTATTTTTGCACTGCCTATCTATGTAGAGACTTGTTCTAGCCATCGTTTTAATTATATGCCAAAGCCTTGCACTGTGTATTAAAGATTCAGCAAATTAATACAATCTCTATAAAAGGAATGGAAAAAAATCACACACATCCAAGAAAAGTGTTTTGCAAAGTTATAGATTGAAAATTATTCCCAGAGACATATTTCAAACTGTGGATTTACTTCTTAAGGGCCTTGGATTTTTCTAGAGATAGCCTCAAAAATATAGTTAGGCTTAAAGTGACTTACTCAATTCTTAAGGTGTTTGTTTGTTTTAAATCACATATGGTGTTTACAAATCCAGTTAATTAATTAGATCTGCACATTATACCCACAGCCTTTTTGTTTTTTGTTCTGTTTTTGGTAGTATTAATTGCAGTTTATGACTGCAAAAATGTTTGACAACCTGGGGCATGTTCTAAGGAATTCTTCTGAAGTGATTTTGCCCAGATAAATCAGAAAACAGACTGTATTCAAAAGCACAGATTTCACAACTTTCCCCAAGTGCTCGCAGTACACTTGAATTCCGACCTGGTATTTCTTCAAAGACTTATAAAGTTCTTAGGCTAGTTCCATCAGTCATAAATAAATTGTTCCTTGTTTCAGTTTCCTCACCTCAGAAATAACAATGGTGCTTTTCCTCACAGATTGTTCCAAGGAGCAAATGAGCAAACATAGCATTCAACGCTTTGAAATTTAAGAAGCATGATGCAAATATAATCTATCATTTTCTGCTCCATAATCTTCTTTATAATATATTAATTTCATGAGGATAAAGACTCTATTTTATTATTTTTTGCATAGCCAGTACCAGTGCTGATATTAGATGTGTTAAAAGTGATTAAACCAGTCTCTAACATTCTCATTTTCTTCTTTAGATTTTGTGATGGAAAATAAAATATTATCTTATCATTTAAAACAAAATATCCCAATGCTGAAATTTATAGGGTATCAGGTAGTTTGTTCTCAGTCTGTTTCCATCTGTCCCCAGGCACCTCCCTACATGGTAAATTCCAGTAATCACAAAGGAGGCTGATCAAGAGAACCAAGGTGGATGACGACTGGGAGCAAGAAAGGTGGAGAAAGAGGAAATTTGTGCAAAATAAGAACCAATGATGACATGTTCAAAGATTAAAACACACACACAAACACACACAGAGAAATGATCATAGGCTTCTCTCAAGCTTTTTGCTGGTTGATGAATGCTTCTGGAATGGTATGCTGTTGATGATTCTGATTCAGCTCAATAGTACACTAAAATCTTTGGGAGTGTTATTTTTTTGTTTTGCTTTATTATGTTTTTCCAATAATAGCCATAGTTTCTCACCCAAACAAACTGCATCAGTGGTTCTGAACCCTTTTCAACTGCTTCCACAACAAAACACATTTTTTCCATGGCAACCAAGAACAGGAACACATATACACAACTGAAATAAGGATTGCACACAACATTTACTCTTACTATATGGGTGATGTACTTGGAATGGTTGTGTTTTATTTCACATCTTTCTAATTGTGGTAGAGATGCACTAAATTGATTCATGCCTCAAAAATGTGTTGCAACTCAAGTTTTCAAAAGGCTGCCTTAGAATGTTCTTTGTGAAAGTTTTTATGTATATCCTCTTTATGTGGTTGCAGTTAGATTATCCCAAAATTCTGGACTTCTTTCCTCTATACTTTGTTTTCGAATTGATATGATTTGTTACAGGATTCACACTTTAAGTATACCTAAGGAAGTTTACTATTTTTGATGAGGAAACATGACATTTTCAAGAACCAGGAAGTGGTAACTGTTCTTTCACCAGCTTCTTATACTGGTCTTTGTGCTCAAAACAAATTGAGAACTTGAGGATAATTAGGTTTTATTCAGGAATTTCACTACAGTTTCAATAATATTTCTGAAAATGTCATTTTTGCAAAATTAAACAGCTAATAAAATAAAAATCTTGAAATATATACATTAGAGATTTACATGGGTTAAAGTACATTTCCTATCACTCTACATTTTAGTATTCTTCCAATATTTATTTATTATTATTGTTTTTTAGAGAGGTTGTGTGTGTGTGTGTGGTGGAGGGGTAGAGGGTGAGGGAGGGAGAGAAACTAAGGAGGCTCCATGCCCAGCGCGGAGCCCAACATGGGGCTCAACTCATGACCCAGAGTCATGACCTGAGCCAAAACCAAGATTTGGATGCTAAACCAACTGAGCCACCCAGGCGCCCCAATATTCTTCAAGTATTTATTTATTTTTATTAAAGGGCTTTTATATTGACAATAAATCACCAAAAAAAAAAAAAATCCCAGGAATCTGGCATTCTTAGTATTTTAAAACTTTTGGAAAACTTCGTAGGGCAGATGATATGGTAAATGTACTATAAATTTATCAAACTTCACACACAGAACACTTATGTTTGGGCACAAAAACACATACAACAAACAGAGACAAATATATAAACATAGAGAGCTAGAGGGACCATCCAGTGGATTCCCTGACTTACCTAGAATACTATTTACACAACTAAAATTCAACCACTCTCTCTCTCAACAATATCTAAATTCTGAATTCTCGGAAGCAGCCTGAATTTATGTTATCTGACATCAAATAGAATAGCCTTCAGATAAATGTACCACAAAAGCAGGAAGCCACAAATTCCTTCTGAATGTTACTACAGTGACTTCAGGAAATCTAAGTGAAAGATTGCAAATTTTCTTAAGGAATTTAACAACAAAAACTTAAAAATTCTCTAGCTAGTACAGATTCTTTGGTCAATATTTCAAGATTAAGGATAAACCAGTCCATTGGCAGTAACTGCTTAATACAACATTCTCTCAAATTTGTTTTACAAACAATACTTTTCATAACTATTGCTCAAAGTCCTTGCATATAGATGTGTAGGAGCACGCACAAATACACACAGAATGAGCAGGAGACGCTATCTTTTATTCTAACACACTATCTCACTGGCCTGGAAAAGACTGTGATTCCATAGCCCTTTAAAAATATTGATCAACTTAGGATTTTATCAAAAGTTGGTATTTAAGGTATTACAGACCAAGCTCAATAGGCTTAATTTTCCTGGGTCCACACAAAGCTAGAATCTCAAAAATATTGTTGAAATGTGCCTTGGGATTTTTTTTTTTTTTTTTTTTTTTTTTTTAATTTCTGCTAACCACCTCTTTGAGAATGGAATCCCTGGTGATTTAGACATCCATTAGTAGCACATTTCTTTATTAATACTGCTTCTTTTATAAGTTTATTTATTCCAAAAGTATTTTTCCTTAAATGAGGGGGGAAAAAAAGCCTTGAAAATCCAATGCACAACAAGGGAAACAAGCAGTGATTGGCTGACACCCCACGGCCAAGGGCAGGCTCCAGCAGGTTTCGGAGTAGCAAGGTCATCAGAGTATGGTGCATAATGGAGCATCATATTAGAGTGGAATTCAGCCAAACACAGTAATGTATGGATGTAGACGCATCTGAAAGAAGGAAAATAAAGATTTATGCAGGTTAAAAAAAAAAAAAAAGCCTGAGGAAGAATTATCCCCCAATGTCTTATACCCAATCAGAATGCTGTGGTAAAGGTTTTGTTGCAGAGTATTTTTATTTACAAATTATCTGTTTGTAAGTAATAAAAATGCTCAGGGGGAAAAAAAGTTAACTTGTCAGATGAATCCTACTCAGAAGCTTTAATAGATTTTTTGTTTGTACACAGCATTAGAGTTCAATACAAACATCACCAAACTCCTGAAAATAAACCTTTATTCTGCCTTTAAAACATTAATTCACCAGAAGTGATAATTAAGATTAGTTTTAGTGGTTTCAGCTGAATTCTTCTTGGAATGTGATTTCTCCCACAACACTAATGCTAAATAAAGCACTGTGTAATGTTCCAAAACAGAGTCCCTGCTTTAGAAAAGATTCTAAGGGCTTTTAAAATAAATAAGAGAGAAAAGTAAAGCTGACTCAAGATCTATATGAACAGATCTTACTATTTCTATAGAGTCACCGTAAATAAATGGATGGGGAACCTTGTTATAGTCTAAAAACTGCTTACATACAGCTTAAACATAAAGCTCTAAACAATTATTATACTAAATTTCCAACATAACCTCCACCACCATCCTGTCCCAGGAAAAGAAATGATGGTAAAATATCTAATAGCATTGGTAGCTATTGTGAAGCAATGGTTGTCACACTATATTCAGTTTTTAAAACAGTTCAAATTTTATTCTTGAAATTAATATACTCAATCATTAGCATTTTATCACTATATAAAATTTAGATATGATACACTAGAGTGATTAATTGCCTAACAAAGGAGGCAATCCAATTGAAAAATTTAAAAACTGTCACATTTTTGTAAAAATTTGCTAGAAAACAAATTTAGAGGAAAACTTAGTTCACGATTGTGTGTTAAGGGTGCTACGAAGGTAGAGCACACCTGCAAAGTTGGCAAAACGTAAAGGAGCATAGAAGGCAAATAGAATTATCTATACTGGTGCAAAAGGTAAAAGATTATCCCAATTAGAATGCATATAAACTTTCATACACACTGTATAGAAAGCTTCTATTAATTTCAATTAAAATTATGCTTTTATTGAGGAGATACTAATCCCAGATAGGAGCTTATATCTGTTGTCACGGTTCTGTTAAAATTAAAAATTCTGTCAATTAACCTGTTGAATATATGTTCTAAACAATGTTAAGTTACTTCAATGAGTGTCATCAATTGCTATTTTACATAGGGGAAAAGAACCATTACTCTCTTTTGAATATCTATAAAATTTGAATTATAATTTCCCCAATAATTTACAGATAAAAACTACAGCCTAAAACAGAATTCTACTCTATTGCAAAAAAGTCAGTCTTCATAGCCAAATATATAGTTATACAGACATAGGTAAATCTCAGCAGATTTCTTTCTCTATTGAAAGACATACAGAGAAAGTTACGTAAGTTCAATTTTATTCCTAGAGGTAGTATGATAAAAAGAAAGAAAGAAAGAAAAAACAAAAGCACTGGCCTCTGCATTCCATGACTTGTATCCACATTGGATCCTCAATAATCTTGTGATCTCAACCTAATTACTTTACCATAAAGGCCTCAACTTCTTAAGTTTCACTGCATCAGTCAAGGAACCAGCAGAAAACCAAATTCACACCCCAATGGTACAGACAAAGTCCTCAGTCTCTCTTCATATAAAATGAAGGAACTGGTTTGGATGATATCTTTTAATTCTAAAATGTGATGACTCCAGTGATTTTAGATACAAACACTAAATGGTCGATTATATCTTCTTTCAATTTCATATGTGTTGAAAGTTCAAATATGTTCCATATATTATAAATGAATATCACAGTGAAATAAAAGTCTAATGGCATCATAGTTGGTCTATATGAATATATCTGTGTGTTTGTGTGGAGAAAGAGATACCAGGTGTACACTTTTCCACAAATAATGTATGTAATTACTCAAAAATAGAAGATAATAAGAAAGATTGATTTTGCTATATTTATCCAGCTGCATGATTTACTTAAAATCTATAAATCGACTCTGTGGTCTCATGTCTAAGTTATTTATTGACTTGGGGTAAGTTTGAGATAAGTTTCAAATTGTCATACTTGGACTTCCATAAAAATTTATATATTCAAGGTAGATCAAATCAGTGGATGACCCTTTCCTTATTCATAGACATCCAGAGATCTAGGTAACGTTGCTTTAGTACATATCTCCTGACTAAAGATGTAATCTTTCATCAGTTATTAGTCACTTGTCTATTATATCAGGCCAGGTGTAACGGAAATTCCACCATATGCAGATGTACTGTACCTCTTAAAAGTGTTTTTGGTTATACACAGCAGAATCATATTGTAGAAATTATGCTTATCAAATTGAAACTAGAAGCTGTGGTTGGCATCACTCTGAAGATGCATTTCTACTGTAGTATGTATGTATGGTGTAATGTATATACACAAACAGATTGACATTTAGTTTTCTCAGTGCTGAAAACTCTAATAGATGATGGCAAGTCATCTGTTTGCTTCCAGACTGGAAGTAATTTAAAAAAATAATTTCTGCCATCTTTTTAACTGAGTATACAATGAATATATTGAATACAATTTGATCAATTAAAGAGAACATTATTCAGACTACATTCTGCAGTTCCAAAGGCAAGGGAAACTATCACTGGACTTAATATGAATTTTTCTTGAGTATTTCTGCATCAGCTACAAATGGATTTTTAAATTAATGTTTATTCAAGCTGTATCTTCTCTACTCTTGCCAAAAGTAAAGTACTTTGCTTTCCATTTACTAAATACAATAAAATTTTTACTTGCCAGTGCATTATCTAAATAACAGCATGGCATGAATAAACTCAACAGGACCTAAAAATAATAAACAAAGTAGTAATTATACTTTTATATGCTTACTAATCTTTTGGAATTATATTAATTTTTAAGAAAATTGAAAAATATTTAACACATAGTAAAACTCTGACGATTAAAAAGTAAGTAGAAAAATAGAATGCCTCTGTCTTTATTTTACAAGTCAAAAGCACAATTGTACTTCCAAGTCACAAAACTTGAACAACCACTAAAACCAGGTTTACCAAGCAAAGGAAAGGTGGACACTTAATCTCAATAATGCTGTCAATGATCCACATTCTGCTCAACTAGATACATTATTTAGTTGAGAGCAAAGGCTTTTGTTTGAACTGCAAAGGCCTGAACTATGGAAACCTGGGCTACATCATCAGTTTTGCTAAGGTGTGATTTTCAGGAAAGAAAAAATATATATATATAGCAACTCTGCAACACACATCTAGATTCTGCCAAAGAGGAACTATAGAAGCTTGATTTGAAAATTTCTAGACCCTGTGAAAACAAACCAAAAAGGGGGAAGGGCATTATTTACAAACTTATTTCCACAAAGCTATTTAATTTATTACAATATAACCATTAACAGGATTTAGGAGCAACACTTTGAAATGTCTAATTCTTATGAAGAGAAGAACACTGTAAACAGATATCACTTCCATTGTATCACAGGTAAAGAACTATGGTAAGGCAATTCAAGAAAATTATAAATAAAATGAAGCCTTTATGTCAGATGAAATCTCTGATTTTTAATTAATCCCTATCATAAGGAATTAAAATATGGCATCCCTCAGGGTTTTCCTTAGATAAATTCAGTATCAAAGGGGGGAATTATAACAAAACCTTGTGTTCTTTATTTTATTTTATCTTACATCAAATTTAACCACAGAAAATACATTTTGGCAGTTGTATAACAATTAAAGTTAATATCTTTTTAAAATGAAAATAGAAAATCATCTCCTTATGGTACAAGCAAAAATCAGAACAAAAAAGATCCTGTTTATTGTGTCAGATGTCTAAACAGAATGTAACTTTGTAAATGGATCCCTTGTCCCCTGACAGCAATATTGAAGAGATGAAGAGTATCAATTACTATTACTAATTACATTAAGGGGAATGTGTTTCATTCTCCTTTATTTCATTTTGGCTCAGCTATTTATTATGGTTAAAACTTTACACATCTTTTGAATACTGAACAACATATAAGTTTTCCAGTCACTTTTGGCAAACTGCATGATTTATACCGATGGCTTTGCAGGTTTTCTATTTTGGTATATGGACTTCTTTGCTCTGTTAAGGAGTCTAACACCATACATTAGTTTATTTATAAGCCTATCACTTTGCCTTTTAAACAGGATGCCACAACAGTCTTGATATTGGCTGTCTTAAGTGCTCAAGAATATAGAGCCAACCTCATTTGATGAGCCAAATAAAGCTTAAGTGGCAGCACAGATCATATGAGGGCGTTGTATAAAATATCTATAAATCTGCCACTTGATATGTCCCCTCCAAAGTTTAAGATTACACAATTTAGAATGCAAATGTCATTCAGCCACGGGACAAAACATCCTATTAGGATTACAGCGAAGAAGTAAACATTCTGCAGAAAGATGTCTTCACACACGTTTGCACTGCAAATTATCATTTTCCAAGGAAATTTCTGTAGATATAAATTTATTTGTGGGTGTTTCTAAGTCGATCTTAAAAATGTAGTATTATTTTAACTAGATGTGTCCTTGTTTACAAAACTGGTAAAAGTACCACAAACAAAACAAAAATCTTCTTCTAACTCCAGGTAAAGCAATAACACAATAAATATAAACCCTCCCCTTAGTAAATTTCAGGTTAAAAGAAATAAGTAACTCAGGCTCACCAGCATCACATATTTTCAAAAGCCATTTAATGTAATGAAGTTCAAGCCTGTATTTTCTTGAATTGCTTTGACAATTGGATATAAAACCACGTTAAGTCTGTTTCTCCTTATCCAAATAGCTACAGTAAGGTACTATAAGTAGCAAATATTTCTTTAGGAAATTGATTTTTAAAACTATGAAAGCGATAAGGAATTAGTATCTCTTTTCTATGTCTTTAATGAGCCCATCAATAATATCTTTAATGATGCTATAAAACAAGTTTTTCTTTTGCCTTAATTCTTCTCAGATTGCACATTCCACATGCAAAGCATATTTAATAGAAAAACTACTATTCAATATTATTTGACAGTCATAAATGTGTTTTTTGAGATGAGTTCTCGGGATAAGAAATATTTTATTAGTGGGGTTGCTACATCATTAAACACAGCAGTGTCCAAAAGGTTTTACTGGCTGAGTGTCAGACCTTGGTGGGTGTAAAAAGTAAACTTTGTAAGCATTACATATATCACACAAGCAAAACTTCCAAAAATAAATTTTCTATTTTCTGAAGTTCATCTCAAAATATGCTTTTTTAAACTGTTTCCACATTTCACTGAAAAACATCTGTATCAAATATTCCATATAACCTTAATAGTGTCAGGATATCGCAATGCAGACCAAAATTTTCTTGTACACAGTGCATCAAACAAGAACATTTCTGTTGCTTGGCTTAAATAATAAAAGGGTCATGTACTTTACTTTTGCTTATAAACTTTTAATACCAAACATGAAGAATGCAAGTGCTAACTGCAAAGCCTCACAGAAGTTTGTTACAGACACAGAAGTATTAAAAACGTATACACAAACAATGAATCATGGCACACTACATCAAAAACTAATGATGTAATGTATGGTGATTAACATAACAAAATAAAATTTTAAAAAGTGTAGTTTTGCATGATATTTGCATATCATTAAATATTTTTAAACCAACAGTTATGTCAAAGTAGTCAGTATTTAAGTATCTCAGACTTGGTACTGTATTTGCATGAGCCAGCCTCCATGATCTGTAAAATCCTACATAATACATTAACACAGTTAAAACTTTTATAGTGTCCAATTTGCAGAGGCACCAGTAGTAACTTTAGAAATTTTCTCCCTGGATGTAATTACCCACTCAGTAGCCACAAAACAAAATAATTTCAGGTCAAAACTAACCACCCAAACAATATATACATATTTATCTTGAAAACAGAAAATGTAGGATGAATTAGTACTGTCCAGTATGAAGTACTGCCTACTTGGAATATGTTCTGAGGTAGCTTAGTAAACACTGGTTTGGTAACTTGCAAAATGCAACAGTGCACCTTGCGTAGATGGCCTGTATTCAATTAATGATACATGAATTAACATTAAATTACTGCCATTAAATTTTTAAATAATAGCTTAAAAGAGAGAAAACAACACTTCACAGAAGATGCTCTGCCTCCGAGTTCTTAGCCTTGTGTGGGATATTTAAATATATTTGGAACACATCTTACCTGTTTGCTGTACTTGTTATTGGTTTGACAGCTGTATTCAGAGCAGTGATCTGATCCAATTGAAATGTTGTCTCCTGCTCCCACAAATGTGTTGGCTGGTGGTAGATCTTGTACGGCCTGGTGTTTTTTTCCTGCAGTTGGTGACTGGGGGTGAAGCTGGACAGTAGGCAACGGAGAACTAGATTTGTAATGCCTGGCCAGGTCAGGACTGCCGGGCCCCCCATTAACGGATCGGTATCGCCCCATGCTTGGGCTGTCTGACAGCTTCTCATTGACGCTATCATACCTCTGTCCATTTGGCTTAGAAGCTTCTACAGTGACAATGCTGCTGTAGAGAGGCTGCTTAGACTTTTTGTTTTTCTTGTCCTTTTTAGGCTTTTTAGATTTGTCGTGCTGCTGGGGTGTAAAAAAGTCTTCATGATCTTTTTTGCCAGCTTCATAGCCATTTTTATTTTTGGACCGGCAGTACCTTGCCATCACTACAATTAAGATGATGAGAATCACTGTCATAATTCCAGCAACCACCCCAATGACAATACTGAGTCTCTGTTTGCTAATTTCATAACTTGGGTCACCAGCTATGTCCTGGGTGAGTGGGGTGTGCAAACTTCTGGCTATCTGGGAGTCAATCACAGTTGCATTGGAAACACTTTCATTGACAAACACATGCACCAGAGTCGTGGTGGACTGGGAAGGCTGTCCACTGTCATTCACTTGCACCACCAACCTGTGCAAGCCATAATGCTTTTGGGTGAGTTTTCCCACTAAGGAAACCACACCACTGGTGGAATCAATCTCAAACAGCTTGAAGGGATTCCCTCCCACAATGCTGTAGTTAAGGTCTGCATTGATGCCCTCATCACTGTCCCTTGCCAACACTGTAGCTACTACTGTCCTGACATTACTTGAAGGTGGCAGTAAAGTGTAGGAAATGTTTCTGGGAAGGGTAACTGTGGGAGCATTGTCATTCTCATCCATCACAAAGAGAGAGACTGTGGCTGTGGCTGATCTGGGAGGATCCCCCCCATCCACAGCCTTGACTCTGAAGGTGTATGTGGTCTGATGTTCCCGGTCAAAAGACATTGTGGAGTAAATGGTCCCTGTGTCGTTTTCAATGGAAAAAATGTTACTGTTTTCCTCTATGTAGAGGCTCATCTCCGCATTGCGCCCCTTGTCTGCATCCATCACCGTGACCATCCCCACCGGGCTGTTGGGCTGCAAGTTTTCTTTCACATAAAAGGTAAAGACGTCCTGCATAAACTTAGGGTCATTGTCATTCTTGTCAGCCACCTGCACAATCACCGTGGTGCTGCCCTGCAGCACCGGGATGCCTTTGTCTTTGGCATTAACTTTAAACTCATACCTGTCTGTCTGCTCTCGGTCCAGCACCGTATTGACAAGGATGTCCCCAGAATCAGGATCGATGGCAAAGATCCCCATCACGGAGGAATCCAGAGAGTAGGCAATCTCTGCATTTTTCCCACTGTCCGCGTCTGTCGCCAGCACCGTGGCCACCCTCTCCCCAGGGATGTTGTTCTCTGGAAAGTAAACCTCCACCACGGACTGGCCGAAGACCGGCGGGTTGTCATTGGTGTCTCCTACCTTGACAACCAGGGAGTTGTTGCTGGAGAGGCTGGGGCTGCCCGAGTCCACCGCCACAATGACCACGTTGAATTCCCGGGTGGTCTCATAGTCCAAAGGGGCCGAGGTGTGCAGAAAGTACTTTTTCTTGTTCTGGTCGCCCTCTGTGTCGCTGGCCGGCTTGAGCTGGAAGGGCACGTCACCCACCACGGTGCAGGTGACTACCCCATTCTCGCCTTGGTCTCGGTCGGACACCTGTACCAGAGCAATGGGGGTGTCGACCAGAACATCCTCGGCCACGTTGGCCACCCCATCCTTGAGTGGGATACGCCCGATCTTGCGGATTTCAATGGACGGAACGTTATCGTTCTCGTCCTTGATGTTGAGGACCACCGTGGCCTTGTCGGTCTTGGGGGGCTGCCCGCGGTCGCGGGCCATGACGGTGAAGCGCAGCTGGTTCACCTCCTCGCGGTCGATACGGTGCAGGACACTGAGCCAGCCGGACGTCTCGTCCAGGCGCAGCAGCCGCCGCACGGATTCGGTAGCCGCTCCGAACACATACTCGATCTGTCCGTTGACCCCCACGTCCAGGTCGGCGGCACGCAGCTGCAGGATGGGAGTCCCTGGGGCGCTATTCTCGGCCAGGTCAGCTTCGTACACGCTCTTCTCGAAACGGGGACTGTTGTCGTTCACGTCGGTGATGAGCACCCTCAGGATGGCCTGCGAGGAGCGAGGCGGGTCGCCACCGTCGCGCACCCGCAGGGTCAGCTCGTAGGAGTCGCGTTGTTCCCGATCCAGCGCCCCCTTCACGATCAGCTGTGGCTGCTTCTCGCCATCCGGGGTGTCGGCCACCTGCAGTTCGAACACGCCGCTGCGGCCACCGGCGTTGGTCCCGCCGCCGCCCTCTGGTGCGTCCGGCCGCCTCCTCGAGCCGCCGTTCCCGCCGCCCCCGGGGTAGGGGGCGCTGTCGGCGGGCCCAGCACGCCGGCCCTCGCCGCCGCCGCCGCCGCCGCCCCCGCCCCCGGGCTCCTGGAGCAGCTCGTAGCGCTCGATGCCGTTGCGGCCGAAGTCACGGTCAGTGGCGGTGGGTAGCAGGTAGAGCGTGCCCACCGGCCTGTTCTCCTCCACCGTGAGCGTGAGCACGGGTGACGGGAAGGTGGGCGTGTTGTCGTTGATATCGAGTACGATGACCCGGCCCTCGAACAGGTCCACCCAGCTCTGCGAGGGCCCGATCACCGACACTTCGAAGTCCAGAAAGCACTCGTTCTCGTCGAAGATCATCTGACACTGGGGCAGCTTCTCGCGGTCGATGCGCCGCTCGCTCGTGCTCAGCTCGCCGGTGAGGTTGTCGATCTTCAGGTACTCCGAGCCCGACTCGAGGCTGAAAGTCACCTCACCCGAGCCGGTCACGATGCCCAAGTCCGAGGCGACGTTGCCGATGCGGACGTCCGCTGGGCCCTCCTCGGCCAGCCGGTATCGGAGCAGCTGCTTGGCGGCCGCCAGGCTGAGCGAGAGCGGCAGGAGGAGACAGCAGCCCAGGCACCAGCCCCGCGCCCATCCCGCGGTCCGCATCCTCAGCATCTTCTCCTGCTGCTGCTGCTACTGCTCCTTCTAAGCACAGCCCCCTCGGCGCCCCCCTCCTAGGGGGCCGACCGCCTGCCCTCCTCACAACCTTCTTCTCTCTCCGGGAAAGGAGGGGGGGGGGGCAAGAGCACCGTGCGGAGTCGGCCGGGGGACCAGCGATAAATCCTTCTTCTTCTTCTTTTTTCTCCTTCTGCTTCTTCTGAAAGTTATTGTTCCATAATTCATGCAATGGGTGCTAATCGCCCGCTCGCCGGCCGCCGTTCAGTCGCAGTACTCACAGTTCACGGGACACTGCGCGCCGCGGGCTCGGCGCCCCCCCAAAGTCATCCCCGCAGCGGGCGGAGGATCCCGAGCTCCCGTCCCCGCTCTGTCGGATGGGGCCGGAACCGCTCCGGCAGGCGGGCGGTGGAGCCGGGAAGCGGCGGGGAACAAGCCTGCAGCCTCCCCCGCCTGCCAACCCCGTTCGTCTTCGCTGCTACTCGAGTTGAGTCCAATCCACGTTGCAGCCACTCACTCCAGACCCAGCTTCTGCTCCGGCTGCCCAGGCAAACGTGAGTTGCTTCCTGCACGAGGCGCTGGGGCCAGCAACAAGCCAGTCTGAACTCTGACTCCGCTCTGGCAGCGGGGGAGCCAGTCAACAGATCGCGAATGAAGAATCCCTGGCAGGTCGCTCCGGGCACCGTGCAGTGGAGACCACTCGCGTCACACAGCGGTCCGCGTCCGGGTCCCCCCCGCGCGCCGAAGAGCAGCCCGAGCCATCTTCAGAGACGCCCAGAGAGTCAGTCCCTTCTCACTCCCAAGAGCTCGGGTTTCTCTTTTTTTCTTAACAACTCTGCGCAAGGTCATTAGTCACGAAGCCGCCGCCTGAAACCGCAGCAGCCGTTCGCCCGCGGGGGCGAAGGCTGAGCCAGCCGTGCGCACCGCGCGGTGCCCAAGTTTGGGTTCGCAGCCGCAGAGTCCGTGCCTTTCCTCACCTGCATTCGGCCCGCAATTCCGAGCACTGGGATCTGCAGCGCTGTGCGCGATTCAGGGAGGAGATTGCAGGCTCTCTCCCCGCTCTCTCTCGATCCCTCCCCTCCCTCCCTCTCTCTCCTCCCTCCTCCTCTCTCCTCCCTCCTCTCCTTTCCCCTTTCCCCTGCTCCCACTCTCTCTCCTGCACGCTCCCTCTCCTTCCTCCCAGTCCCAATGCTGCCAACTCAAGCTGAACTTGATCCCTTTGCAGTTCAAAGGTGAGCAAACCAGGCTCGGTGCTCAGGCGACGTTGGCCTGGCGAAAGCCCCCGGCCGGGCTCCCCCAACGGCAATTAACAAAGATGCCCAATTCTGTCCGGATTTCCGAAGAAAAGCCAAAGGCGCTGGGGAGGGGTGAGCGGGAGGTGGAGTCAGAGACAGCTGCCAAGTAGCTTAAAAAGAAAAAGAAAAAAAAAAAAAATCCAGTTTGCCAAGGGGAGAAAAAGTGCCAGTCGGTTGTTGCCTCGGAAGTGCCCTGGCACGGCGGGTGAATTCCGCAGTTGTCTCGTCCCCTTTTGCGTCTGGGAGAGTCTGGTGCGGGCGCGCTCGCCGCCCCTTGGACTGCCAAGGCTCAAAGACGCTGAATGGCAAATAGGAAGCTCCCGCTCGCTAGCCGCGAGCCGGAAACCCGCAAGTTTGCCCAAAGTGGTGGCTGCTGCTGGGAGCTCGCTGGCTGGCTTGCGGCTCAAGCTCGTCCCTGAAGCTGCTGCTGCTTGTGGCGGCGGCGGCGGCGGTAGCAGCCTAGCCGCGGAAACTACACACTCGCGGAGAGGGAGGGAGGAGGGTTGGGGGGAGGAAGGCAGAAGGGAGTACCAACCAGCCGGCCCGCTCCGGAAAGCCCCGCTTCAGCACCGGGGGCCACTCCTTGTGTGCACAATCCAGCCAGTCCCCGTCCCCTTTAAGCCAAAGCCTTTCCCCCTCTCCCCAGTGAGCGCAGCCACAGTCCGGTCGGGGGACTTGCTTTCCGTCCCTGGGGCTGGTAAATTTCCTCCTCTCCCTGACTAATACCGAGTGCGTGTGTGAGAACACTGAATTGGTGTCAGGAAAGGTTTCTTTCTTTTTTTTTTCCTCCCCCTTCTCAGACGATGCCCCCCCCCCACCCCACCCCGAAGTGTCTCCGTTTCGCGATTTAGCATCTTGGTTAGGGCATGGCTAAGGGTGGCTTAGGGGATCCTGCGTGCGCCCAGGGAGCCACGTTGGTGTTCTGAGAAACCATGATGGGCTGCAGTGGTTAAAAAAAAAAGAGAGAGAGAGAGAGAGAGAGAACATCAAACTCCAGAGAGAGCCAGAGAGGAATCCTTTTTTGGGAGTGCAGACTTCGGAGGGCTGGGGTTGGGGGTTGGGGTGGTGCCTGTCTTTGTTTAAATGCTTGGCATTCCTGTTATCGTGCTTGCTTACGGGGGTAGACCGTGTGTGTGTGTGTGTGTGTGTGCGCGCGCGCGCCTGGGGAATAAACACATGTTGGAAGCCTCGGTGTTATTTTCTGAGCAGAAACCTGCAGCCTTTAGTAACTGGCAAAGTGTAGCGTCACCTATCTGGATAAAAGGGAAATAAACTTTAATGGCAACTTTGTGTACCGAAGTGTCCCTAGTTCCGTTTCTCTCCTTCTTCTGACTTTGTGCCACTCGATCGTACGTGGTATTCCCCCACGCGAGGCTTCCCCAGTTTTCAATCACAGCCACTCAGCCCGCCTCATCAGATCTCAGTTGTGCTTGTGTTTTTTTAAAACTGTAGCCGTTTGCTCTTCATTTATTTCAGTGGCTAAGGGGTCCCGCCAGGATTAAGTGGGCTGAGGCGGGCAGGAGGTATTTGGGGACAATCTTACCATCTCAAGAGAGCAAAGAGGCTGCTGCTGGGATTTGGTGGGCCCTCAGCTCGTCTGCCCAATCTATAGGCATCGAAGGGCCTCCCCTTAAAGGAAAATTTAAGATGAAAAGAAGAAAAAAGAAAGAAATCCGTCCAGAGTGGCTATTCTGCCTTTACGAGACCTGTGTGCGGAGGCAAAATGATTTAAACAAGACAAACACCAATAAAGTCTACAAGCAGATGTAGCGCGCGGTTGTTTGGGCGGGCGCAGGCAGCAGAAATGGGGGAGAGGTGGCTGAGATTTCCAAGGTCTCCCTATAGGGGATCATGGAGGCGCGGAGGATGAAAGGGCCAGGGAGCGGGCGAGCATTTTCCAGTCTGCTAAAGCAGCTGCACTCAGGGTGTAGCCGCTTCTCCTCCCCGGCCAGGCCAGGAACCCGGCCACCCCCACATTCCCCAAGCCCGCCGCCTCCCGAGCCTCTCCGCTCTGTATCTGCAGCATCAGCGAGAAAAACCCCGCGCGCAGACTCAGTGCACACCGCCGCAGTCTGGAGCCGGGGGGCGGGGGCGGGCGCCGCAGCGTTTCCTTGGCCCGCTAAGTGGCTGTAGTGCTAAATCCCCTTATGTTTGGAAAACTCTGGTTTATCAGAATTCTTGCCTCCCACGACACCCGGTCCCCCCCTTTTTTTCCAGGGTCCAAGGTGAAAGAGGGAAGCCTTTTCTGCTCCGCGGCCTTGCGCCCGTGCATTCCGATGCGCGGCAATATGGTGCAGTGCACTCACTCCCCTAACGGCCTTTCCTAAGATTTTGCAAACTTCTGGCAGCCGCGTGGGCACAGACGTTGTACACTCACTCTTCCCTCGCCAGACCATAAACTTGAACAAGCCCCTGAGCATCTTCAAACGTTCGCCCACCGCTCCGGCGCGCAATCTCCAGGCGCACAGTAGCGAGGGGCGAAAGAGTGGGAGGCTTTTCCCCAGAGCGCCGCACATTTCTTCCCAGATGACGGGGCTGGTGTGTGCGCGCCCTTCACAGTGAGCGGTTTCCTCATTGCGAGCGGGAGGTAGGCTCCAGTCTGCCCTCCCTACTCATCCCGACCAACTCCGCCGCCGAGCCAAGCCAGCGTGGGAAACGGGTCCGACGTGTGCGGCAGGGAGAACAGCATGCCAGACAACCGGGGCCGTGAAGCGCCCCGGCTTTCCACCCTCCCCCACCGGTCCCCGCCTCCGACCTCTCTGCGGGAGCGGCCAACGGCCGGCTGCTTTGCCCAGCAGCGCGGTTCTCGGGCAGCGGAGCGGAGTAGGCGCGGTGGGGGTGTGGGCGAGGCGCGAGGAGCCCCCGGGGCGCCCTGGCCGCGGTTGGAGCTCCCAGTCCTCTTCCGCCTCCTGTCCGGGGACTGACCCTCCAACTCCAGCCTCCCGAGGGCGCGGAGGATGAATGGAGGCGAGAAGCTGTTTCCCCCACCCCCACCCCATTTCCGCAGTCTTAGAGCCAGTGTCACAAGTGCTCGGCAGTTTCGTGAAATGGACCTAGGGGACTTAATTCCCCCGGTTCCAGGTCTCACCACGGGAATATGATACCCGGATTCGCGCCCACCCGCAAACCCCGCCCGGCTTCTCAGACTCGAGGCAGCATTTATCTTCTCAACCTGAGAGGCAAGGTTTCAGAAGGAAATGGGATCGGAAGTGCAACCGGCTGCAGTAAATTAAAGAGCCCGCTGCCGCGGCTGCTTTGGCGGCCAGAACTGAAGAGAGAAAACGAAATCAGTTGCCGAAAGCCTGAGTTGATCAGAGTGATGGCACGTCATCGCTCGCATGAAGCAAAGTATGTGAGAGAAGGTTGAAGTGTTGGGGATTTGTGTATTGTCTCTTTTTTTTGTTTGTTTTTGTTTTTTTTTTAAGAATATAAAGAAAAATGACCCCTTGAAACCAAGATATAAAAAATGCAATCGATTAAAATATGTCTTTTTTTTTTAAGAATATAAAGAAAAATGACCCCTTGAAACCAAGATATAAGAAATACAATCGATTAAAATAAAAATGTTATCCCGTTCTAATAAACATTTAATCAAAACTTGGCCAATGATTCCTTTTTTTTTCTATGCCAAATATCCTGCCCTATCTATATTTACCATAATCGGTGGTTGTTTGTTGTTGTTTTAAATTTACCTCCTAACCCTGCCATCTTAAAACTGCTTTGCAGTTAAGAAATTTCAGTGACTGAGCTGAAAAATAGCACTCAGGGTCCGTGATGTAGTTTAAGCCTCAAAAACACAGGAAGGGAAGTAACAAGGACAACAAAAGTTTATGGGTAAGAATACAAAGAAGTAGGTGCCGGAGATAAGATCTCGGGGCGGGGGGGGCTTTCATTTATTATAGACGCTGTATTCACGATAGTACAAGAAAAAGGTTAAATACAGTAAACACGATAGCCAGTTCTGGAAAGAAATATAAAGCAGTTTGACGGGAAGGGAGAAAGTGACTCAAGAACTCCACCAAGGGACAAACAGAGGAAATGACACCCCTAGATCTCCAAATCCATTGACCTTTAGTCTTTTTAAAAGGGGTCCTCTATATCCGTTCACACGTGCATATGCATGTTTTCCAGGCCTTTATGATCAATCGTTTCTCCAACTACTTTTGATAAAGTTGATTCTGTAGTCTTCCGTTTCCAAGTAATTATTAGAGATTAGTGCCCCTTAAACATATATCAACAGTAAACTATAACTGCAACACCATTGTCTTATAGCAAGTATGGTTCTGATTCTTGGGCCTGTGAGAAACTTTGGGCAGATTTTGCAGCCTTAAATCCATGCTTGTAGTATTAAAATGAGTAGCAGACTGAGAAAGCTAAATTATTCATTGCAATAACGGACTTTTTGATGGACATTAAAACTCAGCAGTTTAAATAAGGAAACCACAGATTTCCTTTTAAGCAGGTAATAACTGCTTGCCTCAGTGGTTATTTAATTGGTCTCCAGCCAAGAAATAGAAATCAGTTGTGCTGTATAAATCATGCAATCATGTTATGCAAAGCCATACACAGTATTACAGTGTATTGATAAGAGACAACATAAGAAGTAAACTAAGTGGATTTATACTATCTATTGGATAACTATAAAACATTTCTAAAAGGACAGTATAAAAATTCAGTTCACAAAGAATAAAAAACTCAAGAAAGTAATTTTTAAGTGTTTATCTAAGTATTAATTCATAGGCTATATGATTTGTCTATTAAATAGAATGTTTTAATTTTTAAAATGCCACTTAAGAGAAATGATTTTCACTTTTTAAGCACAGATTAATGGTTGATTTTTGTCAATTTCTTAAGTTTTAAATGCCAAAACATATGCAACACAGCATAGTTTATGTTATATGTAAATTAAGATCTAGTCAGTTATGATAACTGGCAAACACATTGTCTTTTCAAGATAATTTATGATTTTTTTCCCAACTTTACATTAATTTTTATACATTCACAAGAATCTAAGCTTGGGAGAAAATACAGTGGTAGGTCAGAACAGTACATCCTATTATTTGTGGTCATCTGAAGCTCTTCTCTGTCACTATCTGTGGTAAAATTGAACATTCCAATGCCCTTTGCAGCATGCACTTGAGACATTTGGCATTTCTTTACTACCATGGCAGGATATGTCAAATGCTGCTGTGAATAATGACCTCTAAGCTAGATAATGTATTGAGGATTTTGGGGGGAAATCTCATTATAATGGCTTGTATGAGTATAATACTCAAATAAATGACCTTGCTTGTACTAAGAATGACTGGAAATTATGAATTAGCTTTATAAGTTTTAGCCCCTGACTGTATTGACCTATGCTAACTAGGTCACGTCTTATGTTAATTACCAATGCGAGGTGGTAGAAAATGTTCATTATTCAATCAAATTTAACCCATTGCACTTAGGAAATTCATAATATGAAATGTATCTAGAGTAAGTCATTTAATAAATTTGACTGACTACTCTAACAGCAATGGATTTTCCAGTGCTAGATGCTGATCCTTACATGGTAATCACTGGACATTTCCCCAAATATTTCTGACTTCTGGACCTGGAGTAATATTGCACTTCTCGGCCCCCTTGTGGCTAGATGAGGCCATTGACTAGATCTGGGCAATTGTGAGGAGAAGCATTAAGGTCACTTCCAAAGGGAACATAAATGCCTGAAAAGAATCATTGTTCAACTTCATCAGTCAAGCTGATTATTAACCTGATCTAGGA